AGAAAAGAGTTTCACAGACTTTCCTGCTTGGGCTGACTTCAAATCGCAATCCTCAGTCTCTTAGTTTTTTGTTTTTCTGTCAGCATAGGGCTTGAACTCAGGGTCTGGGCACTGTCCCTGAGCATTTTTGCTCAAGGCTTTTCCACTTTAAGCCACACCACCACTTGCAGTTTTCCAGTGGTTAATTGGAGATAAGAGTCTCCCAGACATTCCTGCTGGGCTGGCTTCGAACTGGTATCCTCAAATCTCAGCCTCCTGAGTAGCTAGGATTACAAGTGTGAGCAACTAGTGCCCAGCTTTCTTAGTGTGTTTTGATATAAGGTCTTATCTATTGTCCAGGGTGGCCTCAGACCTTAATCTTTCTCCCCTATCTCCAAAGAAGCTGGGACCACAGGAATTCATCCACTGACATCTTCATTTTATCTGTTTCAGGGAAGTCTATCAACTCTTCATAGATCTTGAGGGTTTTGTTTTTTGTTTTTTGTTTTTACTGGTCCTGGGGTTTAACTCAGGGCCTGGGTACTGTCCCTGGGCATCTTTTGCTCAAGGATATCCCTCTACCACTTGAGCCACAGCCCCACTTCTAGCTTTTTTGGTAATTTATTGAGGATAAGTTTCATGGACTTTCCTGCCTAGAATGGCTTCAAACTGTGATCCTCAGATTTCAGCCTCCTGAGCAGCTAGGATTATAGAAGTGAGCCACTGGCACCTGGCTGGTTCTTTCTTCTGAGACAGGGTCTTGCTATTTTGCCCAAGGCATTCTTGAGCTGCTTGTCCCCATGCCTCAGTCCAAATGCTGGGAGTACATGTGTGGGCCATCACATTTGGCTCTACATGTTTTGTTTTTGTTTTTTGCTGTTGTTGTTTTTATTGTTTGCCAGTCTTGGGGCTTGAACTCTGGGCCTGAGCACTCTTTCTGAGCTTCTTTTTTACTCAAGGCTAGCACTCTGCCTCTTGAGCCACAACTCCATTTCCAATTTTCTGATGGCTAATTGGAGATTAGAGTCTCCTGGACTTTCTTGTCTAGGCTGGCTTTGAACCACAATCCTCAGATCTCAGCTTCCTGAGTAGCTAGAATTACAGGCATGAGACACGGGCACCCAGCTTTATGCCTGCTTCTTCTTCTTCTTCTTTTTTTTTTTTTGGTCAGTCATGGGGCTTGAACTCTGGTCTTAGGTGCTGTCCTTGCGCTCTTCAGCTCAAGGCAAGCACTCTACCTCTTGAGCCACAGCGTCACTCCCGGTTTTCTAGTGGTTTATTGGAGATAAGAGTCTCATGGGCTTTCTTACCCAGGCTGACTTTAAACAGTGATCCTCAGATCTCAGCCTCCTGAGTATCTAGGATTACAGGCGTGCGCCACCGGTGCTAGGCTATGCCTGCTTCTTAATCTGCACAGTAGGGTGGCAACTTCCACTTTTTTCCAAAATACTTTCAAAGTTTTCTTTTTTTTTCTGTTTCTCCCTCCCTTCCTCCCTCCCTCCCTCCCTTCCCTCCCTCCCTCCCTCCCTCCCTTCCTTCCTTCTTTCCCTTCTTTTTTTTGTGCTGGAGATCAAACCCAGAGCCTTGCATATGCTAGGCAAGTGTTCTACCACTGAGGTGTATCAATGACCTATTTTCAAAGTCTGGAATTCTTTGTTCATTTTTTTTTCTGGCCCTGGGGCTTGAACTCAGGGCCTGGGCTCTGTCCCTGAGCTTCTCTAGGCTCAAAGCTAGTGCTCTATCACTTGAGCCACAGCACCACTCCTCGCTCTTTCTGTTTATGTGGTACTGAGGAATCAAACCCAGGGCTTCATGCATGCTAGGCAAGCACTCTACCACTTTGTTCATTTTTTTTTGTGCCGGTCCAGTGCCAAGCACTGAGCACTGACCCTGAGCTTTTTTGCTCAAGGCTAGTGCTCTAGCAACTTGAGCTCCACTAGCAGCTTTTTGCTGGTTAATTGGAGATAAGTGTCTCATCTACATTCCTGCCCAGGTTAGCTTCAAACTGTGATCCTTGGATCGCAACTTCATGAATAGCTACAGACATGAACCATCAGTACCATTTCTTGTTCATTTCTAATAATATTTTTGTTGGTCATGAGGCTTGAACTCTGGGCCTGGGTGCTGTCCCCCAGCTCTTCATCTCAAGGCTAGCACTCTACCACTTGAGCCACAGCGCTACATCCAGTTTTTTGAGTGGTTTATTGGAGATAAGAGTCTCACAGACTTTCCTGCCCAGGCTGGCTCTGAACCACTATCCTCAGATCTCAGCCTCCTGAGTAGCTAGGATTGCAGGTGTGAGCCACTAGCACCTGGTTCATTTGTAATAATTTTATCTCCATAACCATACTAATATCAGATCATTCTATAATTAAGCTTGTCCACATATGCCCATTGTCTTATTTCTTTTAAGTCTTCCACATATTGTCACATTTCAAGAAGTCTCTGGGCTAGATGAGATGGTTATAATAGTAATTTCAATACTTAGGTGACTGAGGAAGGATTACAGATTCAAGGCCAGCCAGAGCTACATAGCAATTTCCAAACCAGCTTGAACTGTGTAGCAAGACCCAATCTGGATTCACTTTGAGATAAGATTCATCAGGGACTAATTATTTGTAAGGGGTATGTCTCAGGTTCAGCTCTTTGTGTGACAGCTTTTTTGGTTTGCTTTCTGGTGCCGACGATGGAGCCTGGGGTCTTGTATACGTTAGGTAAGCACTCTACCAGAGATACATCCCAGCCTCTGTGCCAGCTCTTTATGTCTGTTCTGTGTGTGTGTGTGTGTGCACGCGTGTGTGTGTGTGTGTGTGTGTGTGTGTGTGTGTGTGTGTGTGTGTGTGTGTGTGTGTTAGTCCTGGGACTTAAACTCAGGGCCTAGGTTTTGCTTGCTCAAAGCTAGCACTTTACCATGTAAGCCACAGCTCCACTTCCAGTGTTTTGATGGTTAATTGGAATTGAGTTTCACAGATTTTCCTACCTGGGCTGGCTTTGAACCACAATCCTCAGATCTCAGCCTCCTAAGTAGCTAAAATTACAGGCATTAGCCATCGGTACCCAGCTTTATGCCTGCTTCTTAATCTGCACAGTAGGGTGATGACAGTGATTTAATCATGGTCTTCAAAGGGATTCAGTGATAGCATTTGAGTTTCTGGGTTGACATAACTGAAACTAGTACTTCTGCTATTTGCATTTAAGTCAGTTTGAGCTTAGTTCCTTACATCAACTGCCCTGGTTCCTGACTGTCAATGACAAGTGATCAGAAGGTTTGTGGATGGCAGTGCTGAGACCAAGTAACCTTCTCAGAGGGTCCTGCCAAGCCCAGTGTGGAGGCAGTGTGGGGGGAGCAAATTGGAGGAACGCTGTGGGAATGGCATCTCTACTACCCTGGATCAGGGCTCTCTCTCTTTCCTCTCCCTAACCCTTTCCTCTCTCCCTCCTCTTGAAAGGCTGGGTGGCTTATTTATATGTCCAGCTGCCACACATTTGTTCTCCCTGCAGCTGTCCTCACTTGAGCCAAGTTTCTCAGTGGTGAGAGGTGACTCCTCCGAGTAGAGCCCAGCAGGGGACAGTGAGTACACAGCAGCCTTGATGACAGCAGGGTACTTGCCTGGGAGGGGGGGTGTCCTAGTGGGTAAGTATCAAAGGGCTAGGACACCAGAGGCTCATGTCCTGTCAGCTTGTCAGCCATTCTAACATCTTTAGAGAATTTTTCAAGGGGACAGAGGACACTATTAGTGGTCTGAGATGTGAGCTGGTGTGTATTTTTTTTTTTTTTGTCGGTCATGGGGCTTGAACTCTGGGCCTAGGAGCTGTCCCTGAGCTCTTCAGTTCAAGGCTAATGCTCTTCCACTTGAGCCACTTCTTGTTTTCTGGTGGTTCATTGGAGATAAGAGTCTCACAGACTTTCCTGCCCAGGCTGGCTTTGAACCTTGATCCTCAAATCTCAGCCTCCTGAGTAGCTAGGATTGCAGGCGTGAGCCACCAGCACCTGGCTTGGTGTGTGTTCTTTTTTTTCTTTCTTTTTTTCTTTTTTTTTTTTGCCAGTCATTAGGCTTGAACTCAGGGCCTGGGCATTGTCCCTGAACTTCTTTTGCTCAAGGCTAGCACTCTACCACTTGAGCCACAGCACCATCTCTGTTTTTTTCTGTTTATGTGGTACTGAGAAATCAAACCAAGGGCTTCATGCAAGCTAGGCAATCCCTCTACCACTGAGCCATAATCCTAGCCCATGGTATGTATTCATGTGTCCCAAAATGACACTTGCCTACAGGGACGACTGCCTTCCAGGTACTCCCTGTGTACTCAAGTCTTCAGAAGGCTTGGCAGAGTGGGATCCAGACAAGCCAATGCCTCACCTCCAGGAACTAACTCCAGTGTGACTGATGAGACATATGGATCTCCTGACCATACGTGAACCATTCCTTCCCTTCCACGCCTCACTTTCCCTATCTGAAACCACAGGTGACAACCCTGACATGAAATGATACAATGTGAGGATTGAGATGGTACTTGGAAAACGCTCTGGAAAAACTGGGCATACATCTGGTGCTTGGGTTAGTATCTGGCACACAGATGGTGTTCAATAAACACATAAAATGATAACCAGCCCAGCATTGGTGTCTCATGCTTATAATCTTAGCTACTCAGGAGGCTGAGATCTGAGGATTGCAGTTTGAAGCCAGCCTAGGCAGGAAAGTCCACGAGATATTTATCTCCAATTAACCATCGAATAGTTGGAAGTAGAGCTGTGGCTTAAGTGGTAGGACACTAGCCTTGAACACAAAAGCTCAGGGACAGCACCCAGGCCCTGAGTTCAAGTCCCAGGACCAACTCTCTCTCTCTCTCTCTCTCTCTCTCTCTCTCTCTCTCTCTCTCTCTCTCACACACACACACACACACACACACACAAACAAACACACACACACACACACTCCTCACGTATCATACCTTTAAGCACACAAAACCCAGGTCTAAAACTGTTACCTAGTAAGTCTGTTGGGGGAAAAAGTCCACTGCTGTGCAAGAACAAACTGGAACTTTATATATATATATATATATATGTATGTATGTATATATATGTATATCACATACACAGCATAAGATACAGGGTCTCAATAAGAAAATACACTCTGTGTTCAGGTTTAACCCCCATCACCAATCACTAAAAACACTCCAGGGTGAGGAAAGAGGGATGGGGACACATAAATAAGACTAGGAGGGAAGGTTACTATTCTAGGGGCACATGGGTGGGTGGCACAGGGCCTCTTCCTCCTGGAATAGAGCAATGCAGCAGCACAGGAGAACAGTAGCCATGGACGAAGCCTGCAATGCCTGGTGGGGGCACTGAACACTTATAAGAGAGGGTTGGGCATGAGAAGCAGGGTGTCAGAGAGGTCTTTCTTTCCTATATCAGATACTAGGGCACTTCAACATCCATGAACTCAGGGCCTGGTGAGGACTTGAAGGCAGAGGAGGCTGAGGGAACAGATGAGTCAGGCTGGGGCTGGCGACGTGCCACATCCTGGCGTTGGTAGAACAGGACATAGGCTGCCTTGGACTGCAGGGAGAGGACACAGTCAGTGTGGCTTTGGGGAAGGGGGATATAGATAGGAGAAGAAGAGAGGGAGGACAGAAGCTGCACCTCAATCTGATTCTCATTCACAGGTGAGACGCTGTTGTCATCAAAGTAGTGCCACTGGCCGCTGTCCTTGTTGCAGGCAAATGTTGTATCTGGAAGGGACCAGAACCCATCCTCACCCATCCTCCTGGCTCTCTGAGGTGGCTAGACTCTCCCCCAGCCCTGGATAACCTCTCTTCTAGCCCACATGCTTAATCACCCACTGGGGGCATCCTCACCCTCTTAATCCAGACCCCCAGGAACTTCCCTGCCCTGCCCACCACACAGCACATACAGTGGCCATCACGCATGCCCCCGTAGTGGTTGGAAACTGCAATGAGATCATATTTGTACAGGTCTGGAGCCAACTCGTTTTGTGGTTTGATGACGAATTCGGAGAAGTCCAGGTCCCTGTGGGTAAGGAGGACATATTTAATACTGTACCCTCTTCCCTGTTGTCCTTCCTTTCCCACTTCCCCCCTACACCTTCTGTTCTCCTCGGGGTCCCTGACCGGATAGGAAACTGCACCAGGGTGTCCAGCTTCTCGTGGGAAAACTTGGAAAAGGAAAAGCGCTTCAGGTGGATGATGAGGATCTCCGGTAGTGCCCACAGATCCAGCTTCTTGGTAGCCAGCTGGTGTTGCTTGCAGGAAGAGCAGTACCTACAGACAAAGTCCCTGTCACCTAGGTACTGCCCAGCTTCTATATGCCCTGTCTCATCGGCTGAGATATCCTTATTTAGATTTGGTTTTATGGAAGCATGATCTTACTATGTAGCCTAGGAGGCCTTAAACTAGCCATGTTCCCGTCTCTTCCTCACAATGACTATGATAAGGGCTAACAAACACTTGCTTTCATTCCCCTCCCTCCTCTCCCCCCGCCACCCCTGCCGCCCTGGTACTGGGGTTTGAACTCAGGGTCTTTCGTTTCTTTGGTTTTCCTGCCTGTAGCTGATGCTCTACTACTTGAGCTACACCTCCAGCCCTGCTTTTTGTTGGTTATTTTGGAGTTAGAATCTCATGGACTTTTCTGCCTAGGCTGGCTCCAAATCACGATCCTCTGGATCTCGGCCTCCTGAGTAACTAGAACACCAGGTGTGAGTCACTGGTGCCCAGTTCAGATTTTAAAGGGGACTCTGACTTTCAGTTTGCCTGGTACACTCATTTGTTTGAACTCATACTTCTGCTTGGCAATCGTGTGTGTGTGTGTGTGTGTGTGTGTGTGTGTGTGTGTGTGTGTGTGTGTGTGTGTGTGTGACCTGTGGCCAGTGTGGCAGGAAGGAGTTGATGGAGTAGATGGAGAATATCTTGGCAAGGAACTGGAATCCCAGGCAAGGAATGCCACCCACAAAGTCCCTCCCAGCCACGCTGGATCCTCACCAGGGGTTTTCTTTCTCCAAGGTCTCCATGGTGGTGAAGAGCTCGATGCACTCCTGCAGCTGCACTGGGGCCTTCTTCAGTACATAGCCCACGCAATCATGCTTCACATAGCCCTGGGTGGGGGGCAAGTACACAGCGATGTATGGTGTAAGGAGGGCAGAGAAACAGGGCTAGGGGGGAGGAGGACAGGCCAAATGAAGCTAGGAACGCCAGGCTCCCATCAAATATCCAAGTGTCAAAACCTGGCCCAAGCAAGGTGCTGGTGGATCACATCTGTAATCCTAGCAACTCAGGAAATCTGAGGATCCTGGTTCAAAGCTTACCCGGAAAGGAAAGTCCATAAGGTTCTTTTTTTTTTTTTTTTTGTCGGTCGTGGGGCCTGAACTCTGGGCCTGGGCGCTGTCCCTCAGCTCTTCAGCTCAAGGCGAGCGCTCTACCACTTGAGCTACAGCGCCACTTCTGGTTTTCTGGTGGTTTATTGGAGATAGGAGTCTCACGGTCTCTCCTGCCCGGGCTGGCTTTGAACCGCGATCCTCAGATCTCAGCCTCCTGAGTAGCTAGGATTACAGGCGTGAGCCACCAGCGCCCGGCGTCCATAAGGTTCTTATCTCAATTAGCCACCAAAAAGCCAGGAATAGAGCTGGCACTCAAATTGGTAGAGCACTAGCTTTGAGTAAAAGGAACTCAGGGGCAGTGCCCAGTGCCTGAGTTCAAGCTCCAGGATAAGCACACACACGCGCGCACGCGCACGCACACACGCACACACACACACACACACACACACACACACACACACACACACACGGCACAGGCTAGTGTTGGGGAGAGGATGTGTGAAGGTTTGAGAAGCATGAGCTCTAAGTACCCCCATCCCTGGGGTCCCATTTACCTCAGCTTCCACCTCGTCGTAGTAGCGTCTCTTCATCTCAGGCTCCCAGTCCATAGCGATGTACGGCTGGGCTGAGGGTACAGAGGTGGCAGTCATGGCTTCTGTTGCTAGGAAATCCCGCCCCTCACGCCATTGCCCCAGTTCAACTCCCAAAGGACATACTTTGCACTTCTTCGGGGGAGATGGTGCGGTCGCTGGTCCCATTGGAGTTGACTGTTTGCAGGGTGAACAGTTGTTTGCGGCGGCGCCTTGGGGGCCACTGAGATGTGTGAAGGCGGTTGTCCAAGAGAAATGGGCATCTTCTGTTAACACCAGAACTGGGCCCAGGCTGCTCAGGTTCAGAGTCTTGGAGGTCGCCGCTGGTGGAAGGTCCGGGGATCTCCTCTTTCCCTTCTTCATCACTGCTGGCTTCATTTTCCTCCTCTTCCTCCTCCTCATTGTCATCTCCTGGAATAAGGAAGTCCATGGGACTGAGCTGCATGCAATGCACACCCCAACAAACCCAGTGTGGGGTTCATCTGCCCCCAACTGCCACCCACAGCCCCTCATTCCCACATAGGCCATGGAACACACGTTCAAATCACTATTATTATTATTCATGTGCCAGTCAAGGGAGTTTGAACTCTGGTACTGGGCACTGTCCTTGAGTTTTTGTGTTCAAGGCTAGTGCTCTACCACTGGAGGCACAGCTCCACTTTCAGCTTTTTTCAGTAGTTAATTGGAGACAAGTGTCTTATAGACTTTTCTGCCAGGGATGGCTTTGAACCGTGATCCTCAGCCTTCTGAATAGATTTACAAGAAAGAATCACCAGTATCTGGCCAAGATCCTGATTCTTTTTGACCCTGTCTCCCTCCTTTCCCTCACCTTTCTCATCTCCATCATCCTCCTCATCTGAGGTGGGCTTGGTCACGTACCGCCTGCAACAGAAAAAATAGGAGACTCGCAAGGCTAGGGCACAAGGACAATGGCAGCAGAACCCAGGATTTTGCTTTGGTGTTGATGGAGAACAAGTCCACAGTGAACCTGCACATAAAGAGTTCCTAATTCAGGGGTAGAAAGGTATGAGGTAGGGACGTAAATACACAGAGAGGCTATAGATGCCATGCCAGCAGTAGCCCAAGAACACAGGCACTCCTGTGCCAGTCAGGAGTGTGGATTTAATCTAACAAACCACTGCAGACACACACCCAGCTGTGAATACCTCTTAAGGATGTCTCTGAGTGGTGGACTTTGGAGTCAAATGTATAATACACAGAAAGGACTCTGGATATTAGTTACAGTGCAACTAAATAATTTTTATATAATTTTGTAAATTTTAGTTACAATCTGCTAGCAAAAACACACCCAGACCCTTTGAGAAGGAGACAAACACAAGGTGAGGTTGTCCTTACTTTCTGCCTTATTCACCTCTGTATCCCTAATTCCTAAGAACAGAAGTCTTTTGATAGCTGATGAGGAAGTTCCAAATAGCAGCTGAATCCCCAGGTCTCGGTTCAGACCCCCACCTCTCTTGACCCTGGGAAGGAGACACTTACGAAAGCCGGTACATCAGGATGTTATACAGGCCCTCCCAAGAGAACCGGTCCCGGGGCACGGAAACCAGCAGAGGATGCCCAAAAAGTATCAGACCATAGTAGGAATTGTTGTAGTCCCGGGCTTGTGTGCGCTCCCGCAGGTAGACAGGAACTACAATATCATCTCTTGAACCCTCAATGGGCTCAATCCGGCCTGTCACCTCATATCTGTGGGGATGGATATCAGGTCACACATAATTATGTTATCCCAAGAAAGCCTCCCTGACTCTACCCCCAAGCATTCCATTTACTGTTATAGTTTTTTTTTTCTTTTTGCTGGTCTTAGGGCTTGAACTCTGGTTCTGGGAGCTGTCCCTGAGCTTCCGTTTGCTCAAGGCTAGCACTCTACTACTTGAGCCACAGCTCTACTTCTGGCTTTTTCTGTGATGAACTGAAGATGAGAGTCTCACGGACTTTCCTGCTCAGGCTGGCTTTGAACTGTGATCCTCAGATATCAGCCTCCTGAGTAGCTAGGATTACAGGTGTGAGACACTGGCATCTGGCTGTAAATCTCTTTTTAAAGGAGTCTGAGAAACTGATAAATGTATTGTACTTTACAAACTATTATGTAACTGACAGTACTTTGTTTATGTGCTGTTTTAGAAGTATTTTAATCGTACTAGAGGGCTCAGAGTGTTAATTTTTTCAGCGACAGAGTAGCTTAAAAACCCTTTTGTAAAACTTTGCTTGGTTTACAAAGAAAATTTCTATACAAAGCCTTTAGTTTTTTTTTTTTTCTTGTTGGTTGGTTATGGGGCTTGAACTCTGGGCCTGGGCATTGTCCCTGAGCTTTTAAGGGAAGGCTAGTGCTTTATCACTTGAGCCACATTGCCACTTCCAGTTTTCTGGTGGTTAGTTGGATATAAGAGTCTCATGGACTTTCCTGCCAGGGCTGGCTTTGCATCACGACCCTGAGATCTCAGCCTTCTGAGTAACTAGGATTACAGGTGTGAGCCACCAGTGTCCAGCAATCTGTTTAAGGTTTTTTTGGGGTTTTTTTTTGGGGGGGGGGTCTGGTCGTGGGGCCTGAACTCTGGGCCTGGGTGCTGTCCCTCAGCTCTTCAGCTCAAGGCTAGCGCTCTACCACTTGAGCCACAGCGCCACTTCCGGCTTTTTTCTTTTTTTTTTATGTGGTGCTAAGGAATCAAACCCAGGGCCTCAGGCATGCAAGGCAAGCGCTCTACCACTGAGCCACCTTCCCAGCCCCTGTTTAAGGTTTTTTTTTTTTTTTTTGTCGGTTGTGGGTCTTGAACTCTGGGCCTGGGTGCTGTCCCTGAGCTCTTCAGCTTCAGGTGAGTGCTCTACCACTTGAGCCACTTCCTCTATTTAGTTTTAAGTTGCCTAAAGATTAAAAAAAATGTTCTGTGACTGGGGCTATAGCTCATTTACCTAGCACACATGATACACTGGCTTCAATCCACAGCTTAGCTAAAAAAAAAAAAGTAAAAAATGGAAGTGAAACTGGGAGCCAGTGGCTCATATCTGTAATCCTAGCTACTCAGGAGACTCAGATCTGAGTATTGTTCTTCAAAGCCAGTCCAGGCAGGAAAGTCTGTGAGACTCTTATTTCCAATTAACCACCAAAAAGCCAGGAGTAGAACTGTGGCTCAACTGGTTGAATGCTAGCTTTGAGCAAAAAAGCTCTGGTACAGTGCCCAGACTCTGAGATCAAGCCCCAAGACTAACACCAATAAAAATTAGAAATTGAAAAAAAAAAAAAAAAGAATGGCTAGGCACTGGTGGCTCAAGACTACAATCCTAATGACTCAGAAGGCTGCTGAAGATGGTGGTATGAAGCCTGGTCAGAATAATCTGTGAGACTCCATCTCCAATAAATCAGCAAAAGACAGTGTTAGAGGGCTGGCTCAAGTGGTAAGGCACCAGCCAGGGACAAAAAAAAAAGCCTAGGAAGAGCTCAAGGCCCTGAGTTCAACCTCAAAACTGGCATAAAAATAAACAAATATACTACAGTGTGGCTCAGTGGTAAATCGCTTGCCTATCATGTTTCTGAGACTCTGTGGTCCATCCATAAGAATGCCCCCCCAAAAACAGAGCACATTATAATGCAACCATTCTTCCCACTTGATCTCTTCACTCACACAAAGATATCATCACGGTCCAAGATGCTGCTCAGAGGATCTTCCAGCTGGTAGAGCTTATAGAAACGGTGACTGAAGACATCGGTCACTATCATCTGGGAATGGGATTGGGGGGGGTCAGTCTAAAAGATCTCCCTAGGGCATTGTGCCCCCTTGATTCTGAATCCCACCCCCTCAGCCTGCATCTGCAGTGTCTCACCTTATCTGGAGCAATACCAGTGTGTTTAGACAAAGCCACACACAGATCGGAGATATTGCCTTTCTTGGGGACCACAACCCGGTGCTAAGGGAGAAATAGTGTCCACAACAGATCAGAAAGACTTGTGGTGTTAATACATGAAACTCTTGACATGTGTAAAATAATCAAAGCTGACTTCATGTCCCCTATTGTGTTCCCAGCCCTCCCACCTGCTCTGGCTTGCGGCGAGGATCCATGGGGATGAAGAAGACCTCCAAGACCCTCTTATGGCAGACAGGCAATGGTACGCTGAGGTAGCAGAAGGGGTCGAAGGTCACAGACACATTGCCACAATCAGGACACACCAGCGTGGACTTGAAGAGGCCATGGAAAGTGTCCACAATCACAGAATCGTTCCGCCGTTTGTGGTTCTGCCAGGCCTCCTGAGCTACCTCCTGTTGATAGCATGGACAAGTAAGTGGAGGGCTTACCCATGGCATGGGGAAACCATGATTTGGGGATATTCATATGGGATAAGCACAGTGTTCAAGGCCAGCTACGGAATGGCAGCTCAAGCTATCTGTGACCCATACTCACTGTCAGAACTGGGGTTTACGTGGGACAGGTGCGTGGTTAGAGTTAACTTTTGAGTTGGATATGAGGACAGACTAGTGCTAGAGCTATGGCTAGAACTGAGGTTGGAAGCTGGATGCCGGTGCCTCACGGCTGTAATCCTAGCTACTCAGGAAGCTGAGACCTGAGGATCATGGTTTGAAGCCAAAACAGACAGGAAAGTCCTTGAAACTATCATCTCCAATTTACCAGCAAAAAGCCAGAAGTGGAACTGTGGTTCAAGTGGTAGAATGCTAGCCTTGAGCAAAAATAGCTCAGGGACAGTGCACAGACCCTGAGTTCAAGCCCCAGGACTGGCACACACACAAAAAAGAAAACACAAACAAAATTTAAAAATTTATTATAACTTATCCTTTTAAAATCAGTATCCAAAAAAAGTACAAAAGGGAGCTGGGTGGGTACTGGTGGCTCACGCCTGTAATCCTAGCTACTCAAGGGGCTAAGATCTAAGGATAGTGGCATAAAGCCAGCCTGGGCAGGAAAGGCATGAAACTCTTATCTCCAAGAAAACACCAGAAAACTGGAAGTGGCACTGTGGCTCAAGTGGTAGAGTGCTAGCCTTGAGCTGAAGAGCTGAGGGACAGTGCTCAGGCCCAGAGTTCAGGCCCCACAACTGACAAACAAAAGTACAAAAGTACTGGCGAGTACTGGCGAACTCAGGGCTGGTGTGTGTGTGTGTGTGTGTGTGTGTGTGTGTGTGTGTGTGTGTGTGTGTGTGTGTGTGTGTGTGTGTGTGTGTGTGTGTGTGTGTGTGTGTGTGTGTGTGTGTGTGTGTGTGTGTGTGTGTGTGTGTACTTGTACTGAAACTTGAACTCAGCTCCTGCTTGACTTTTTTGCTCAACACTGGCACTCTACCACGTGAACCGCAGCTCTACTTTTGGCTTTGTTTTGGCTGTCTTGGGGCTTGAACTCTGGGCCTGAACTCAGGTAATGTTCCTGAGCTCCCAAAGCTAGCACTCTACCACTTGAGCCACAGCACCACTTAGGCTTTTTCTGTGCCTAATTTGAGATAAGAGTTTCATAGACTTTCCTGCCTAGGCTGGCTTTGAACCACAATCCTCAGATCTCAGCCTCCTGAGCAGTTAAGATTACAGGCATGAGCCACCAGTGACTAGCACCAGTTAGTTGGAAGTAAGAGTTTCTTAAATTTGTCTGCTCAGGCTCACTTTGAGCCTTGATTCTGAATAGCTAGGAATTATACATGTAAGCCATCAGTGCTTGGCCTGGTTGGTGTTTTTTGTTTGTTTGTTTTTGTTTTTGTTTTTTTTGGGTCAGGTTGTGGGGCCTGAACTCTGGGCCTGGGCGCTGTCCCTCAGCTCTTCACCTCAAGGCTAGCGCTCTACCACTTGAGCTACAGTGCAACTTCCAGCTTTTTGCTTATGTGGTGCTGAGGAATCAAACCCAGAGCCTCATGCATGCAAGGCAAGCGCTCTACCACTGAGCTACCTTCCCAGCCCCTGGTTGGTGTTTAAAACAACTATATATTAAGCAAAACAGATATAGCCATGGGGAGGAAGAATGCCAAATATGAGAAGAGAGCATTTCCTTTGGCTTTGCTGGTTGTAGCTACTACTTTTCATAGGACTATTCCTCTCTCTGTATTGTAAAATAACTAAAGGCATGCAGCTGCATATAGTGGTATAAGCAGGTAATCCCAGGGTTTAGGAAACTAAGACCAGTCTGGACTACATAGTGAGAGCGTATCTCCAAAAACAAACAAAAGCCTAAGAAAAAAACAGTAAGGTCTCCAGGAGTTAAAAAAAAAAATAAACTGAGGTTGGAACTGAGGTCATAGCAGGGGAGCTTTGCAAATGGCAGTATATCTAGCAGCCCAGGTAGGCTAGGGACTCCCTGGGGGTAGCAGGCTTAGTGTCTTTCATGGGTCTCTCAAGGTGGAGGACTTGATTCAGGAGCAGCCTACCTGATCTGGCCGCCCATTGGCCTCACACAGTTCCACATATTCCTTCTTCTTGACCCGATTGAGGTCCTCATGAAGCCCATCCAAGAGGAATGACAGCAGCTCCTGTGAGTCATGCTGCTGGTAGCCCAGGAACTGAGTTGCAAAATGGCCAACCTTATTCTGAGAAGATGAGCAAGGCTGTCAGAGGGAGTGAGAGTTCAGAGAGATAAGTGAAGTGGGGGATGGGGTGTATGGGGCTGAGTCACACCTTGAACACATTAGGCACAATAGAGCGGTGGTACCCAGACCATGCCTGCTTCACCAGGTCTGCATAGGCCTCAGCAAGTTCACCTTTCATGCCCAGCGGGTTGCGGAAGTTGAGCTCATCCAGGTAGCGGTTGTTGAGGAAGTACTCAGTGAGCTGGGGCACATTGCTGAGGCACTGTAGGGGCGGGCATGGTGAGAAAAAGGCAGAAGAGAGGAGAGAAGTGGTCCAAGTAAGGATGTAGAAAAGGAAGTCAAGCGAGGAGGAAAAGACAGGGTGGTGGAGTGAGGGGTGGGGAGTGAAGGGTTGGGGATAAGACAGGAGCTGAATAGTTAAGGAAAGATGTTAATACCTCTGAGAAGGAAGAGCATGGTGACAAGGCGAGAAGGGAAAGCAGGGAGCAGGTGGAGGAAGAAGGTGTTGATAACTCCAGAAGCAAATGTGAACATGTCAATTCAGACTCATGGGGCCTTGAATTCTAACCTGACCTCGTCTTGCAGTTATCTCCCCCACCCCCATCCCCTAGCTCTATTTCCAACCCCCAGCTCTTGAAGCCCACCCCATGGCTGTGCCAGACATAGCTCTAGTGGCCCAACCTGCAGGGCCGAGTTCATGAAGCACGTGTTGCCCAGATTGGTAAGGCCACAGATGCCCGGCTGGCCCTGGAAGTCTTCATCTTCTTCCGCCATGTTCTTCCTGAGGTTGGATGAGAAACCCTATCAGCTGAAGGCCTACTACACACAGGTGCACAGTACTTGTAGGTTCAGTCTGCCTGCTGTGGGATGCCCCCACTCTGCACCAGACACCCCAATGGCTCACATGCCATGCAGCTGTGTGCTGGGCCAAGTGCCATCTTTGTTTCGGGTCTCCATGATGACCAACTGGGTTGCAGGAAGAGAAAGCAGAAGGCAAAGCATTAATGGAATGCTTATTGGGTTTCCAGACCTCCCTCAATCTAAGTGCTGCCAGGTGAGTCCATCTAGCAGGCTACTTGCACCAAAAAGTCTTTCACACTCTTACCTGCCCAGTCTCGATGGCAGCATCAAGCAGTGTGATCTGTGTGTTGAACAAACGATCCAAAGAGCCCTCTGAGTTCTTGATCCAAAGGCGTGTGTCTTCCTGAGGCTCCACCAGAAAATGCTCCCGGGCAGTGCTCAAGACTACATCTGTGACAGGTGAACTAAAATCAGTATCTCCCAAGATGCAGAATGACAGAGCCATCCTCACAGACCTCCCATACTCTTGTCAAAATGCCTAACCCAGCTGGGTGCCAGCCTCAGAAAAAAAAAGTCTGTGAGACTTCTTTTTGTCAGTTGTGGGTCTTGAACTCTGGGCCTGCGTCCTGTCCCTGAGCTCTTCAGCTCTACCACTTGAGCCACAGTGCCACCACTTCTGGTTTTCTGGTGGTTAATTGGAGATAAGAGTCTCATGGATGTTCCTGACGGGGCTGGGTTTGAACCATGATCCTTGGATCTCAGCCTCCTGAGTAGCTAGGATTACAGGCATGAGCCACCTGTACCCAGCTGTCTGTGACTCTTATCTTCAATTAACTACCAAACCCTGAAAGTGAAGCTGTGTCTCAAAGTGGTAGAGTACTAGTCTTGAGCAAAAGAGCTCAAGAGCTCAGGGACTGCACCCAGGCCTTGAGTTTAAGCCCCACAACTGACCAAAAGAGAGAGAGAGAGAAAAAAAAAAGACTAACCCACAATCAGGACTTGAGGACTGGCCCTTCTTTCATGCAAGCTAGTGGAATGCAGCTCATATACCCTCAAAACCTTTGGTCAATACCTTCTTGGTTCTTAAGTCTGACTGGTAGTCTTCTTAGGCCCCAGCCTAATCCCAAACATCTTCAAATCGTTGGGCTATGACTTGGGAACACAAGTTCATCTCATGGCCCTCACACTCACCAAGAGTATCAGTGTGGCTGAATTGAGCAGTAAGAATTGTGTCCATATCAGTGTGCTGGACCAGCAGCAGTTCTACTAGATACACTTCCACCTTCTGGATGTTGGGCAGCTTTATGACCTGTGAGGGCAGAGGGGTATATACACAGAGGCATGTCCACCCTACTCACTTGGACACATATTCTGAGCCAACAAGACCTTCTTCCTCCCTGACCTCCCAGGGACTCTACCGAACCCCAGCACCTTCCTCACCCATGTACCTTGCGCTCAATGGGAGGCTGGCCATCCTCTAGGCCATACCAGCTGACGAGGTAATGCCAAGCAGCTGCTGGGAGCAGCACATAATCCTTGCCTTCCACCAGGCCCTCCTTGAGGCGCCAGTTTATCTGATCTGCAGTGTGGGGGCGGGGGAGGCAAAGAAGAAATCAATGACCTGTGCATTTGATCATTTGTAGAGACTAAGGAGATGAGGACTCCAGGGTAAGGCTGATAGGGGGAGGGGGAAGCAGAGGCCTGGTACCTTCAAAGAGCTCAGCATTGTTGATGCAGCCAGGAAAGGTGCTGGCGTCCTGGTCCCCTCCTTGCACGTACACCTCCCACTGTTTATACCAGTGCTGCTTCACAAGGAACCTGGGGCCCAGACATGCAACAAGAGTATCATATGGTTATCTGGGGGATAGGAAGAGGGGTGTTGTAAAGCTTTTCTTTGCTAGCAGACTTCAATGATCAACTCATTGTAATCCAACATGAGGGGTTTCAGCAACATACAAAACAAGCAAAACTATTTATTCAGTGAAACTGAGATTTGGATGTTAGATTACCTATCTTCTTAAGATACTGACAGATACGGGATTAGGGATGGAAAATGTAAGCCAGGCTTGGGTTGCAAATATCATTCCAGCATTTTTTTTGTGGTTTTTTTTTTTTTTTTGCCAATCCTAGGGCTTGAAATCAGGGCCGGGGCACTGTCCCTGAGCCACAGTGCCACTTCTAGCTTTTTCTTTTTATGTGGTACTGAGGAATCGAATCCAGGGCTTCATGCATCCTAGGCAAGCACTCTACCACTAAGCCCCATTCCCAGCCCCTCATTCCAGCATTTGTGAGATTGAGGCAGGGAGATGACTTGAATTTGAGCTACATAGCAAGATCTCTCATCTGGGTTTGGGGGACTGAAAATGTGCTTGATAATGGCAAACAAAAAGCCCACAGTGGTAGGAAATTAATTTTATTATAGAAGATAATTGATTTATATTAGTCTGTAGGATAATAAATTAGGTGCAAAATTTTTAGCCAATGTTACTTACAGCTAATGTTGTTACCTATTTGTTTTGGCATTACTGGGGATAGAACCAAGGGCTTTGTACATGGTAAACAAGCACATTATAATTGAGCTACATCCTCAGACCTAGCCATTTGTTGTATATACACCAATTTTTTAAAGGCCAGATCAACAGAAACAAAGTTCTTCAGTTAAGAAATGAATTTGAGGGGCTGGGAAGGTGGCTCAGTGGTAGAGTGCTTGCCTTACATACATGAGGCCCTGGGTTCAATTCTGGCAAAAAAAAAAAAAAAAAAAAGCCAGAAGTGGTGCTGTAGCTCAAGTGGTAGAGCACTAGCCTTGAGCTGAAGAGCTGAGAGACAGTGGCCCATCCCAGAGTTCAGGCCCCATGACTGAAAAAAAAATGGATTTGATAAACTGGGCATGGTGGTATTCGTCTGTAATCCCAACACTTGGGAGGCTGAGATACGAGCACCTTGAGCTCCAGGCCAGCCTGAGCTACAGAGCAAAACTCTATCTCAAAAATAAAATGAACTAGATAAGTTTAGAAAGTCTAGATTTTTAGAAACTGAGAAGAATTAAAAATGCTAAAAACAGTTCTAAGGTTTTCCTCCTAAAACTGAATATTGCCATTTTCATCAGTTTTGTGTTTAAGATTTTGGCTGTTGTTTTTAAACTAGAGACAAATAATAAATTTTATTATCTTATTTATATCCAGAAAATCATAGCAATTGTTCTTTGGGGGTTTTCTAACCTTAAAATTGGGATATTTTATATAATTATGAAGTACATTATAATTCAAAACATTTATAATGATTCAATGTGTAATGATTACTTTGGCTTTACATAGATTTTTGTTTGCTTATTTGGTGCCAGTAATGGGGCTTATGCTCAGGTTTTAGGCACTGTTCTTGGCTTTTTTGTTTAAGGCTAGTGCTCTACCACTTGAGTCATAGCTCCACTTCTGGCTTTTTCTTGGTAATAAGAGATAGAGTCCCACAGACTTTTCTGCCCAGGCTGGCTTTAAACCACAATTCTCAGATCTCAGCCTCCTGAGCAGCTAAAATTAGACATAAGCCATCAGGCTTATGACTTTTTGACACTAGCCAGGCATGTTGGTACATAGCTATAATCCCAACTCTCAAGAGAATGAGATAGGAAGATTGAGAATTGGAGACCAGCTTGGGCTACATATTAAGACCCTGTCTCAAAAACAAAAAGAAACAACAAACACACACAAATGTATTACCAGCCTCAAATAAACACATTTAATATTATTGGATGATTTTCCAGCAATTTAGCCTCACAGATGTGATTGATGGGCAGGGGATTGCCAGGCATTGAACTCAGGACCTCATATATGGTAAGCATGTGCTCTACTACTGAGCTACACCCCCAGATCCAATGTGATTCACTGACATGCCAACTTTCTCTTGTTCACAAAATGACCAGAAAGACTGGGAGATGGAGAGCTAAAGCATCCTTGGAATAGCGAGTCACACGAGTGGGCACATGTTCTGTGGAACTGACCAGTTTGGGTTTCTGGAGCACAAACCCTGCCAGATAACTTATACCAGGGATAGTCTCCTGCCTGGTGGTTCATGCTACAAACCTCCCTCATCCCCCACATACCCTGTCATACAGCTTCATCCCCCATGCCTGGCTTTACTTGCTTCTATATAGTCAGTCTATGAAGCTAGTTTATGGCTAATGGTACCTTCAATGCAAAGAGAGGTGCTGCTCAATTTAAGAGCAGATCTTTACTGAAAACTAACATTAAGATCACCTCGTAGCAAGACTTCCAGGCCTGGATCCAACCTGAAAAAAAAATCCTTTTGCAGGCATAGAACAATTAAATTAGGTTCAAAATACTTGTCATTTGCAGCTAATGAGGCTTAACTTCCTTTCCCTGGTGCTGGGCATGGAATCCAGAACCTTGTACATGCTAGGCCAGCATTCTGCTTATGAGCTATATCTTTAGCCTCCAACATGTGTGTGTGTGTGCTGGTACTAGGACTTGAATTCTGGACCTCAAGTTCTCCCTTGGCATTTTTCATTTAAGGCTGGTATTCAAGTACTTGAGTCACATCTCCACTTCTGGCTCTTTGATGGCTAATTGGAGATAAAAGTCTCAAAGACTTTTCTGCCTGGGCTGGCTTCAAACTGTGATCCTTAGATCTCAGCCTCTTGAGTAGTTAGCATGATAGGAATGATTCACCAGCACCTGGCTTCCCAACCTGAATTTTTATAGGCTTGAGAAAGGTCTCAAGTTTCGTACAAATTTTCACAAAACATTATTATTGTTGTTATTCAATTCAAATACTTTAAAAAAAAACCCCAAACCATTGTAACTCAGAAATCAGTACATGTCACATCTATCAAGCCAGGTGGAAGGCATGGCAAAGGTGTTACCATCTGTTTCAAGAGCACTCATATTATATTTACTCCCAGCTATTCAATTTTGGAAGCATGCTATCTTAAACTTTATCTTTCGATTTTTAACTTTCTCATTCCTTGTTACTCATACATAGTATATAGCTAGCCACTTCTGTTTATTAAAATGATATGAAATACATGCTTATGAAAAGCATTACTATATGATTATCTTCTATCCTCTAGTCTTCTCATGTCTGGAGAAAAGAAAATTGGTTATTTTGGTTAATAATTTACACCAATGGTTATGACTACAGAAAAGTAGAACAAATATGGCTATAAAGTAAGACATAAGATTTTCTATTTGTTAATTAAAATGTTGTTAGTTTATTCAGAAAGTAAATGTAATATAACATAACATTGTCCCACCAAGTTTATTACTGTAAAATATAATTCATATATGCCCCAGCTAAGAACTTCATTTTTGTCTCAAATTATTGTTAACTCTTGGGATTTTTTTCTAGTATTGGGGTTTGAACTCAGGACTTCCCACTTGCTTGGCAGTGCCCTACTGCTTGACCCATTATCTTCAGCCCTTTTTTGCTCTGGTTATTTTTTAAATAATCTCACTTTTTGCCCAGACCAGCATGGACCATGTTCCTATTTATACCTTCCCACTATAGCTGGGATGACAGACATGTAACATCATGGCTAGTAAGTTTGTTGTTGAGATGAGGGTCTCATTAACTTTTTTGCCTGGGCTGACCTGAAACCTCAATCCTCTCAATCCCAGTCTCCCAAGAATTACAGGTATGAGTTTCCAAGTATCTCTTGCTTTAAAAAAAATAGTAATAATTTAAATGCATTGCTAAAATAAACTCCTAGCTAGGTACCCCTGTCTCATGCCTGTGATCCTAGCTACTCAAGAGGCTGAAATCTGGAAAAAAGGATTAAGATTAAGCACCAACTATGAACAAGTAGACTAAACAAGTGAGAGGCAAAGTTCAAGTCCTGTGCTAGAAACAAAAATCCTGTCATATTTATCACTGTGTATTTTCACAAAATGGACTGTAAATATTTCCTTTTTTTACAACTTTTATCTTTTTCAGTTTTATTAGCAGACACTAGCTGTACAAGTTGTACATAAGTTGCACAATTTATTATATATTGTATATATGTAGACAATGTATCCCAACCTCATCCTATTTATCATTCCCTTATCGACTCCACCTTCTTCAAGCAGTTTGAACAAGTTTCATTGTTGCTTTTCAACAAGAAACAATCTCTCTCCTACTCCCCCCCCCCCCTGCCCCCCTCCCCAGTCCTAGGGCTTGAACTCAGGGCACAGGCACTCTCCTTGAGCTTATTTTGCTCAAGGCTAGCACTCTAGCATTTAAGCCACAGTGCCACTTCCCGCTTTCTGTTTATGCATGAACCCAAGGCTTCATGCATGCTAGGCAAGGATTCTACCACTAAGCCAGCAAACAAACTCTCAACCATGATTCACTCTTGTTAGCTCAACTCCCTCTGACTGATCCCCACCTCATCTGAGGGTCTAAGTATTCTTGACTTGTCTTTCCTAAATTCAGAACAGTGACAATTAAAAGTATTTTATGTTTAAGCTAATTTGGGCACAGACCACAAAAATTTGCTCCACCCATAAACAAGACAGTATGAATAGTTCTATTTATCTTTACTTTTTTTTTAGGTATGAGACCAGGACTAAAACTTGGTACTGGATGCTTTCACTCACTGGCTGGCATTCTATCAATTGGGCCATGACTCCAACCCCTCTATTTATCTTTTATTTTTGTCAGTAATGGGGCTTGAACTCTAGGCCTGGGCACTGTCCCTCAGCTCTTCAGCTCAAGGTGAGTGCTCTACCACTTGAGCCACAGTGCCACTTACGGTTTTATGAGTGTTTTATTGAAGATAAGAGTCTCACGGACTTTCCTGCCAGGGCTGGCTTTGAACCCTGATCCTCAGATCTCAGCCTCCTTAGTCTAGGATTATAGGCATGAGCCACCTAGCCCCTCTATTTATCTTAAATTCTCCCAATTTCATAAAAGCTTTCATTTCCCAACTTTTCTTTCTTCTTCTTCTTTTTTGCTGGTCCTGAGGCTTGGAACTCAGAGCCTGGATGCTGTCTCTGAGGTTCTTTTGTTCAAGGCTAGTGCTCTACCACTTGAGCCACAGCTCCACTTCCAGCTTTTTTTTTCATGGTTGGAGATAAGAGTCTCATAGACTTTCCTGCCAGGGATGGCGTCAAACCAAGATCCTTAGATCTCAGCCTCTCGAGCAGCTAGGATTATAAGCAGGAGCCACAGGGCCAGGCCCAACTCACTTTTTTAAAAATACTGTTTTAAAATAATATATCAGAAAAGGATTATCTTCTCAAGTTAATTAGTCAACCACAGAGAATTAAGATTTGCTACTCTCAACATTTCCTGGCTGAACCTCCAATGAAATTGTGGGCTTCCCTTTACACATCATCATCAGGTTGCTGCTTTATTCTGAATTCAGCCACCCTCCTTCCTTTACCTGAACAATAAGAGTCATGTGATTTTTACCTGTTAGGAAGGTGTCCACATCCTGCACAGACCTGCCCTGATTTCATTGTTAAAAAGAAAGGTCTACATTTACCCTTAAGACATAAACTTCTCTCAGAAATCAAATAAATTCTGATGACCAAATTAATTAGTTGCACATGTTTAGATCTGCCAGCTGGTAAGACAAGAAATGCAAATATTAATACTGAAACAAGAGTTAGTTCATGACATCAAAATACTTTATGAAAATGTCATTCCTGACCAATGCAGCAAACCCACCTAAAATGGAGTAAAAACCTCCAGTTGCTTTGCTCTTACCTAGATAAGCATAAAAAGATGGCGATCAGCAAAAATGCTTTATGGAAATACCCATAGCAGAGACAAGCCGGTTTCAATACTGAATCAACAGTGGTGTGGTAATTTTTTTAATGAAGTGAAATTCATATAACATAAAATTAACCCATTTTAAAATGAACAATTCAGTGGTATTCATTACATTCACAAAGCTGTTGCAACCACCACCTCTACCTGGTTCCAAAACATTTTCATCACTCCAAAAGGAAACCCAGTATTGGTAGGCTTTCAGAGAGGTATTGACAAAGATGGCAGAATTTCATGTGCTATCTACCAATGATAACAATCATGAAGGAGTATAAAGATAGGAAGGGGTAAGGATGAAAACCTGGAAGCCCTTTTGAACATGTCCAAATGGGCTATAAAATTCTGGTTACTGCTTATTTTTACTATAGATTTAGGTTTTTTTCTTCCTGGCTGGACAGCTATGAAGTAATGATAGAAAAACACATTAGTTTTCTATTCCATATTTGGAGAATCTCAACTTGTCTCCCCAGTAACAAGGATACACATTTTACTGGTCTTGTTATTAAAGCACTCTGAAATGTGGGCAAAGCTCTCTGGAAATGGCCAGAAGAGCCAATATGGTTGGTCTAAATGGAGAGAGGGAAGAGGTGTGTAATGAGGAAGATTCCAGAAGAAATCAGAGTGGAAGCAGAGAACCAGCTTCATAAAGCTCTGCAGGTCATTGGAAAGATTGCAGCATTTACACTGTGCACCATGGGAAGCTGGTGTGATATTTTTGGGAGAATAGATGGACAATGTATATGTTTTAAAAAGAAATACTGCTTATATAAAGAGAAAATGGGACTTTGACAACTGAGAGAAACCTGCCAGATACAATGGTAAATGAGTGATCAAAGTTCACATCACAAACAAGATCATTTGGATACCATGTACCACCTGATACAATAAGAAGGGCTCACAGTATGCATCCAGTATTTCATCTATGAAGTATGGTTTCATATATATACTTCATATATGTAAAGGGAAAGCGTAGACATTAAATACTATTTAGGGATGCATACCGTGGTGGTAAAACATTGAATGTTAATTCAAAATTTAGGATGTGTTTCTCTAGGAGCAGGGATGGGAATGTCTATCTGGGAGGGACACTGAAGGATTTCTTAAGGTAAAGTTCTGAATTTTAACCTGGGTGAATTCACACATTTTTATTTTGTCACTTGATTTTTTTTACTTGAAATAAACTCATAAAAATGGCAAAAATAATACAACAATTTCCCCATATGCCCTTCATTCAGATTCCCCAAATCTAACATTTTATCCATTTGCTCAATCGTTATTTCTTCATATGCATCTTTTTGGTATTTTTATTTATTTTTAAATTCACAAAATTTTGTGCATTTGTGGTATACAGCATGTTTTACATGTATACATTATTAAATGACTAAGCTAATTAACATCCATTGCATCACATCTCTAATTTGTAAAGTACATGTAAAATCTACTTTTAGCAATTTCCAAGTATACAATAGATTGTCATTAACTATAATCACCATCTTGTACAATGGGTCTCCTAAATTTGATCTTGTCTAACCCAAAGTTTACATCTTTTGATCAATATCTCCCCAATTCATGCATTTTAACAGATGCTAATTTTTTAACCATTTAAGAATAGGTTGCTTACATGATGATTCCTTATCCCTAAAATTTCAGTATTTCCCCAAGCCAAGAATATTCTTTTACCACCACAACACAATGATCATAATCAAGGAATTATCAGTAATAATATTTTATCTATTGGCTTTAGTGAAATTTCACCGATTTTTTTTCCCATGGAATTTTACAATGAAAAAAATGAGAAAACCCCTGATTTTTAAAATAATTTATTCTTTTCCTGTTCCAGGATCCAATCGAGGATCACATGTTGCATTTAGTTATCAAACTTGTTAAACTGCATTAATTCATTACAGGAATTATTTGGAATAGTTCTTCGGCCTTTGTCTTTCACGACCTTGACAGTTTTGAAGAGCACACAGATCACTTACTTAAATATGATGTCCGTCAATTTGGGCTGTGTAAAATTGACACAAATCTTAAATGTTTCACAATTCAAAAATCAAGACGCAAATTGACGAGAAATAAAATGAACCCGGAAGCAGTAAATTTCAAGAAGCAATGGTTAGCAAAGAAATCAGTAAAATAAGACGATTTATCAAGAAGCGGGTTGTATTTTTAAAGTAACGATTTTCTCCTGAAAATAAAAGTGCCAAAACGTAAGAAAAAAAATTAAATCAGAGGTCCCTCCTGTGCTAATCTCCTGCACTTTTTCCCAATCTACAAAAAGGGCCTCCAACAGAATTTTTTAATGAAAAAACGAAAGAAAGAAAGAAAGAAAGGAAGGAAGGAAGAAGGGAGGGAGGGAAAGGAAGGAAGGGAAGAAAGAAAGAAAGGAAAAGAAAGAAAGAAAGAAAGAAAGAAAGAAAGAAAGAAAGAAAGAAAGAAAGAAAGAAAGAAAAGAAAGAAAGAAAAGAAAGAAAGAAAGAAAAAAGAAACAACCGCATCACACATTTCCTTCACTTGAGGCGCCATTTTCTGCCTTAGGCACCACCTCCCCAGCACTTTCTTCCCTCCGCTGCATACCACGCCCCTCCGCTGTGCCAGTCTGAGCCTCGTTCCCAGGCCCCAGCCGCCAGTAAGTCCCAGCTCCCTCCCCTCACCCACAACTATGGGCAAAGAGGCTTCTCTTCGGAGGATATCAGAAGGCTAGCAATGGTTGCAGGCCACTCCTAGTAATCGACGCTAATTTCCTAATTACAGACCAGGCCACGCTCCCCGCCCCCCCCCCCCCAACCCGCCCCGAGCCTTACAGGGCAGAGCCTGCCTTCCTTCCCAGGCTGCACGTTCCAAGACGCGGCCCCGCCTCCCTCACAACGAACCCCATTTTGTTCTAAGGCGTAAGACTGCACCAACACAGGCCCCGCCTCTTTCCCAGACGTTGCGATTCATTCACAAGCACTTGCCCGCTCTTCTCGCCCAGGAACCCACCTGCCCCTCCCCCACCCCGCCCCCGCCCCCGCAGCGCTTCTTCCACAGACGTGGGCTTCTAAGTCCCCGGCGTTTGCTAACGCCCCCACCGTCCCCTCAGCCAAGGTTTCGCTGAAGCCCAGCCTCACCAGCTTTCGCCGGCTTGTAGTGGACGCTCTCGTCCACTCTCGGCATTCTCGATTTGGTGCCACTGGTCGTCCAGGCCAAGCTTTGCCTCGCGTTGTGGCTCTCTGTCCTCAGCGGCCGCCGCGACGGCAGCTGCAGCAGGCTCCGCTGCGACCGCCGCCATCGCCGTCCGTCGTCCTCTAACTGCCAACGCAACTGAAGATGGGAAGAGGACCCTCAACTGCTACTTCCGGATTCTGTCCCGGAAACGGAAACAGAGCCCCCCAAATGGCTAGGGGGCTACTGCCATCTTGGAAATGGGCCCCATCTGACGTGTCAAGGAACTAGGAGGGTGTCACTAGGTGGGCTGTGATCTCTGCGAGCAACAGTCAGGATAAAAACCTCCACTTGGAAACTAAGAAACACAATAGTGCCTGTGGGATACTAACGCCATGTTGAGTTAGGGCAGAAGGTTGTGTGGAAGGCTAGGCTGAGGTTTTTCTAAGTGATTGAGGACATGTTGGATAGTGCTGTCTTCCTGCTTGGTGTTTTGCTGAAGACTGTGGATCCTTACCCCAGGAGTTTTTATTAGTCTGACTAGAGTGTCCTCCTTTCATTGCACAACCCTTCTCATCCAACCCTAGTATAAAAGGGGTTTCCACTTCCAGATCCTCCTAGGCTTGCAGGCCATTGTTTACCTTCATGATCTAGATTCATTTCTTAGACAAAATGTGATCAAGGAAAATCACCCCCAAAGCCTGTTTGGTGGAGTCACAGCAGTTAACTTGTAGTCTAAACTTAAATAATAGCTTCAGGCACTATCCTTACCACTCTGAGCAAATTGTCGGGGAAGCAGAGGGCTAGAAATGCTAACCCAGTTGTCCCCGAGCTGGTACTGGTACGTGCTGGAGCTGTGCTTCCAACTCAGCAAATCTTGTTCCAAAGTTGTGACCTCACATGCCACACAGGAGATTCTCAAACTAGTTCCAGGGTGTCCATCCTGGGATTCATAGTTCTTTTTCACTCTCATTCTTTTATGTGTGTGTGGTGGAATTATCCAGAGGCTACTTTCACAAGAAAATGCTTGTGTGTGTGTGGGGGGGGGGGGTGCTCAACTCCTTAAAAATGTAAAGAGATCCTGAAACCAAAGTTTGAGAATCAGTGCACCAGGACAGGCTTTCAAACTTCAACACTTATCATTTCACTGTGAGGAACACTGCAGGCCATTCTACTGCATCTTCGCTTCTTTTATTAGACACGTGTGGCCCACCCCACAGAACACCCAAATATTACCAAATATCCCCTGGGGTATGTTGTCTCCAGTTGAGAACCACCCTACTAGACTGTTACCCTTTACTCTGCTATGGCTCCCAGCCCTACCAGTTGGTATTGACTAAATTTCTCTGGCTCCCTCTATTTAGCTGCCTATTCCACAAACTTCCTAGGACAGATTCATGATGATTTGGGGGCTATTTCAGTGATTTCCTTTACTATTATTATCACACAGTTCCTAAAGGCAACAAACTTTGCCTTTCCATACCCCCAGGCCTACGTGAATATAGATCTGTCCATAGTGTAATTTCAACCTTCCTCTTCACATGACCTCTTCACTTACCTATTTTCAGTTAATATCTGGGTGGCGAGTGGGGAGGGGTAAACTATGCCTTTTTGTGTGAATGTAACAGTCCTGGGGCTTGAACTCAGGACCTGGTCACTGTTGCTCAGGTTGTTGGTTTTGTTGGTCGTGGGGCCTGAACTCTGGGCTTGCTTGCTGTCCCTCAGCTTTTCAGCTCAAGGCTAGCACTCTACCATTTGAGCCACAGTGCCACTTCCGGCTTTTCCCCCCTGCTTATGTGGTGCTGAGGAATCGAACCCAGGGCCTCATGCATGCAAGGCAAGCACTCTACCACTGAGCCACCTTCCCAGACCCACACAGGTTTTTTTTTTTTGCTCAAGGCTAGTGCTCTACCATTTTAGCCACAGCTCCCCTCCTGCCTTTTTGATAGTTAATTGAAGATAGCCTCATGGACTTTCTTGCCAGGCTGGCTTCAAACCTTAATCCTCAGATCTCAACCTCCTCCTGCCTCCTGAGTATGTTTTTACTGATCTCATCCCTCAACCCAGACCTGGTACAAATGACTGCAATTTTTTGTGTAAACTGAGGGAGAAAATGGAGTACCCTTCTGCTTGCAGGTTCCCCCCCTCCCCCGTCCAAATGTGACATTTGAATTGAATCTGGCACATGGCAGATACTGGTGAATCAACCTCCCTCCTTTCTTGCTTCTGCACTGTCACTCCCTATTTTGCTTCCCCTCCTCAGCCCTTGTCTTGGTTTCTTCACTACTGAGAGACCAACCTCTGCCCATATCAACTCCTATAGTAGCTGAGTGAATTCCAGTCCTTCTAAGTAGACTTAGAGGATGGGCTATTTTGTGCCTTTGCAGCATCAATTTCCTAGCCTCTTTTACTGCTAGAGGTGATCATGTCATCTGAGTAACCCAGGGATGACATAGGAAGTCTACTGAGGTTTGTTATAGTTCTAGGCCTGTAAAAGAGAACAGAAAGGAAGGGAGTGCCCTGCTTTCCCAGCTTGCTTTCCTATATCTGGGACATGGCCATCTTGGCACCATGAGACTGCAAGCTGATATTGATCAAAGTGCTTACAAGGACACAGCAGATTAGAGGCTCACAGCCCATCACTGCTAGGCCTTAGTAAATAGACATTTAATTAAGACATTCTATTACTTGCATTTTCCTGGCCCTGCCCATTCCACCTCTCCTGCCTATTTCTGGCTCTGCCCAAGATGATATGGGGCTAGAATTTGTGAGTGAAGGCATAAAAGCCTTTACTTTGCTCATACCTGAGTGCTAGTTGATTTTTGGGCTCTCACAAACCATTGGATCCTTCCCAGGTATATCTCATCCATACCCATAGTTTCCATTACTTCTTGGACACCAATAATCCAAACTTTCGGTTCTATCTATGGCCCCACTCCTGGACTTGATGTATTAAGTGCAGGGCAATAGTAGCTCACACTTGTAATCCTAATCAGCAGGCTAGATGAGATCACAGTTCAAAGCCAATGTGGGCAGAAAATCCTGAGACTAAATCTCCAACCCAGCAAAATGCTGGGCATGGCTCAAGTGACAGAGCTTCAGCTAAGAATGAAAAAGGTAAGCACGAGCATGAGGTCTCCAGTTCAAGTCTTGGTACCAGTCCAGGGGGAAGATTATTCCTTCACCTACTTAGTAACCCAAAATTGACTCTCCTCATTCCCTCCCCAGCTGGTCCTCTTCATAATGCCTAGGTAAAGTGTGTAGTGGTCATATTAGGCCTCTCTGCCTCACTCCTCACCTTGCTTCTATCAGGCCCTTCAATGTCACTCTCCACCTTGTCAGGCTTCCTCATATTGCTGGATAAACCTAGTTCCTTTCTCTGCTTGAGTTTCAACCTGTCAGCACTATTCAGCCTGCTCTACTGCCTTGAACTTGATGCTCTATCATCCCCTGTGCAACCCTCTCAGGGATCCTTTTCAGAGATCTGCCATCTCTCCAGTCCACTCTCAAATGCCCTTCTAGACAATGTGGATCAGGTATGAATTTACAAAGGTAAGTAATCATCCCAGCTTGAGCTCCCTTGCTTTCATAGGGATTTGCAATCAGACTTTTCTCTTTAGACTTTTTAATATTTCATACAGCGATTATGGTGCATTCAGGAACCCAACCCTCCAAACCCCACCAGGAGGGCTCCCTCCCCTGCCCTCCCACCCCATTTAAGGGCCCCAGGGCTTAGGGTGAATGAAGGGGAGGTAACCACCCATCCAGGGACTGACCCTGGAGACTGACCCTGCCCTGCCTCACCCTCCCAGGGGTTAGGGGGCAACACCTGGGCACAACCCCCATGTGCCCCTGTCCCTGCTTGTGCACATGTACACACTATGGCTGCTCGCTGAGTTGGTCAGTTCCTTGGCAGGGCCCTTACTCAACAGCACCGAGTGGGATGGGGCAGAAGGGCTGGGCTGGGGAGACCCTGAGAAGGAGGCCCCGGCTACAGAACTACAGGAGGGAGAGTAGGGCTCCCCCGACCTTGTCCGGCTCCCAGTTTCCAGTAGTTCCCAGATGACCCTGCAGCTGGGGATGGCAGGCAGGGGGAAGAAGGCGAGTAGCCGAGGCATGCTTTCCAACAGCCGATCCCAGGGTTTGGTGATGGTCAGGGTTCTGAAGAGGGGCTGTGTCCCTGCCTCTGAAAGGCTGGGAGTGGGGCTTCATTGCACAAAATACTGTGGGAGGGCCACACGCAGGGGGTGGGGCCCAGCCACTCTGTATACAGAGATATTGCGTTTAAAAAAATGAGAACCTCATTTAAAATGATTTAAAAAAACAATAAATGAAACAAACAAAAAGGCCCACAACAACATGAGGCAGTGGGGCAGGCAGGAAAGCAGGCAGAAGATGCCTCAGACCCAAGGCATCATCACCTTTCTCATCTGCATTGAGAGCCCCAGCCTGGGCCAGTTCCAGACCCTTGGCTGGCCGTGGGGTAGTGGTCCTGGGAAGGGGGGGTGGATATGACGAGGAGGGTTAGGCCTGCCTCAGTGTGGGAGGCTGGCACGGCCATGCTGTCCGCCGGCAACTACCAAGACAAAAAGACAGACCAAGCAAAGGATTGATGATGAGAGCTTTGTTAGCACCCAGCAGATAGGCCAATGGGTGGGTTGACAGGCCAATGATTGGGTGTTTGGGCAGTTGGCTGGGGACAAGTGGGCAGGAGAGCATGGCTCAGGCAGGTAGGCAGGCAGAAAGCAGGGAGGATGCAGTTGGGGGCTGCCCTGTGAGGGGTGTGGCATCCCTCCAGCCGCTGCCTGCTAGGACCTCGGTCTGTGGCTTAGAACTTGGCTTAGAACTCGGTGTCCACCACACGGAAAGCTGGCCTGCCTGCAGGGGAAAGCAGAGCGGATGGCTGTTGGTGGGCAAGCAGATAGGTGGGTAAAGCAGGTAGGTGGGTGGAGGGAAGGAGAAGAGACCACACTTACCCGAGTCAGGCATAGATGAGGACCGAAGATTGGCCTCCTTTTGTAGCTGGATCTCCTTTAGTGCAAATATGGAAGTAGCTGTGGGTAGAGACACACAAGTGGGGGATCCACAGGCCCATCCAGGACCAGCTTCTATATGGTTCTACTGGGGGAATTAATTAGAAGTTGCCCCTTCTTTGAGAGGCTTGCTTTTCATCCACACAGAAACGCTACAAGGAGGGAAGATGGAATATACACTATTGCATAACACAAAGAAGTTACAAACTTTATTGTGATAAAGGCATTGCAATTAGCACTTTTTAAATCCAGGTGATGGGTGGTGTTTGGGGAGTTGATTTTAATATCAATCCAAGCTATCCAGGAGGCTGAGATCTGAGGATTGTGGTTCAAAGCCACCATGGACAGGCAAGTCTGTGAAACTTTTATCTCAACCACAAAAAGCTGGAAGTAGAGCTGTGACTCAAATGGCAGAGTGCTAGCCTTGAGCAAAAAGAGCTCAGGCAAAGTGCCCAGGCCCTGAGTTCAAGCCCCAGGACTGGCAAAAAAATAAGAAAACTAGATTGACCAAGAATTAATTTGTTAAGAGTACATGTGGACTCATTATTTTGTCTAATAGTAAATGTACATTAATTTGGAAATGTCTTTGTTAAAATGCTTTGTAAAGCCAAAGATTAAAATAAAAAAAGAGAGAGAACAAGTTCAAAGCCAGCCTGGGCAGGAAAGTCCATTGAGACTCTTTATCTCCAATTAACCACCAGAAAACTGGAAGTGGCGCTTTGGCTCAAGTAGTAGAGAGCTCGCCTTGATCTGAAGAGCTCAGGGACAGTGTCTAGGCCCAGAGTTCAAGCCCCACGACTGACCAAAAAATAAAAATAAAAAAGAGACAACAAACATCTCATATGATTCCAGAGAAAAAGTGATTTCTGATGTTACGAATCCAAACAATAGGGCTGGGTATATAGCTTAGTGGTAAAACACCTGCCTAGCATGCATAAGGCCCTGAGTTCCATGCCCACTCCCCTGCGGCTGAAAGAAAAAGAACAGCAAATTGAAATGTTTCCACTGTTCAGGACAGGCCCTGGAATGTCCAAAGAAGGTGCTATGGAGCCCCCAGTCCTAGGGCTTAAACTCAGGGTCTGAGTACTGTCCCTGAGCCTCTTTATACTCAAGGCTAATGCTCTACCACTTGAGCCACAGTGCCACTTCCGATTTTTGAGTGGTTAATTGGAGATAAGAGTCTCATGGGGACTTTTCTGCCCAGGACTGGCTTCAAACTGAGATCCTCAGATATCAGCCCCTTGAGCAGCTAGAACTACAGGCATGAACCATGGGCACCCAGCTCTGTGAGACTCTTATCTCCAATTAATCACAGAAAAAGCCAAAGTGGTGCTGTGGCTCAAGTGGTAGAGCGCTAGCCTTGAGCAAAAGCTCAGGAACAGTGCCCAGGCTCTAGGGTTCAAGCCCTAGGACTGGCAAAATTAACAATAATTAGTTGTGTTATATACACTTGATTTTGTGCATTTTAGCATTCATATTGCAAGGAAATGTTTACTTTAAAAGTAACATCTATTTTAATGTACTGTATGAATGTTCATGAAAGGTAAAAGGAACTAAAAATTTAAAAATATTATTATTGTTTTCCTGGTCCTAGCGCTTAAACTCAGGGCCTAGGCACTGTCCCTGAGCTTTATTTTGCCAAGCATGGGGCTTGAACTCAGGGCCTGGGCACTGTCCCTGAGCTTCTTCTGCTCAAGGCTAGCACTCTAGCACACTACCACTTGAGCCACAGGGCCACTTCTGGCTTTTTCTGTTTATGTGGTACTGTGGAATCCAACCCAGGTCTTCATGCATGCCAGGCAAGCACTCTACCACTTGAGCCACAGTTCCACTCGTGGCTTTTTGATGGTTAATTGAAGATAAGAATCGCATAGACCGGCTGGGAAGGTGGCTCAGTGGTAGAGCGCTTGCCTTGCATGCATGAGGCCCTGGGTTCGATTCCCCAACACCACATAAGCAAAAAGAAAAAAAAGCCAGAAGTGGCGCTGTGGCTCAAGTGGTAGAGCGCTAGCCTTGAGCTGAAGAGTTGAGGGACAGCGCCCAGGCCCAGAGTTCAGGCCCCACGACCAGACCCCAAAAAAAGAAAGAAAGAAAAAAAAAAAGAATCGCATAGACTTTCCTATCAGGTTTGACTGCAAACCATAATCCTCAGATCTCAGCCTCCTGAGTAGCTAAGATTACAGGCGTGAGTCACTGGCACCCAGCCTATTTTTTTCATAATACTATCACATATAGGATGCCTCCCCCATTCCCTGAACAATTGACTCAACTATCCTAACAGTCTTATTCCTCACAGTCCCCATTCCTAGCAGTCCAATTCCCCACAGCCTCTATCCTGGCCCATACATTCCCCAACTGCACTCACTGTCAGGAAGTTTGTGGATCCGCTCCCCCAGGCTGAAGAAGAATGGATGCTTCATGGCATCTTCTGCAGAGATCCGATTGCGACCCTCGAACTGAGTTGGAGGGGAGAAGGGTGTATTGATATTTTTCAATAAGTAGGTTTCTCTTCCTGCCCACCTCAGATCTTACCCTGGAGGTTGGGGAAGGGGGAAGTCCCATTTTCCCACACCTGGAATTCCCACCTCCACAAGGCTGTCCCGGGAAGATGGTCTCACCTGCAGCAGCTTAGTGAGGAGGTCAGCCCCATCGCTATCAAGTCTACCATAAGGACAAGGTGATTTATTTTACATTGGGTTTGGGTATTCTGGCTTCCAATGCCCTCCCAACCTCCCACCCACCAGTCTCACCGGGGTGCATGGCTCAGAAGGGCCTCAGCTCGGTACTTGGGATAGTTGTATGTCTTGAACTCCTCATTGGACATGATGCCAGGCCATGTCTCCTCAGTTGGAGTTCCTGGCAGGGAAGAGGAATTTATCCCAAATATCTCAGGCTCTCCCTGAATGTCCCCATAGCTCCTAAGGCATATGCCTCCTCCTCACCCAAGATGCGGAAGATGAAATGCAGCTGTTCCTCCACTGTGGAGCCTGGGAAGAGGGGCCGGCCTGTGGCCATCTCATAGAAGATGCAGCCCACACCCCTGAACAGGGAAAGCATATTGAATAGGGAGGTAGGTTGCTGGGTGGCTACAACAGCTATGCCAAACCCTTCCATACCTCCACCTCTCCTCACCACATGTCAATCTGGGTAGAATAATCTGTAGATCCAAGCAGGATGTCAGGGGGCCTGTACCACAGTGTCACCACCTCGTTGGAATATGTCTTCGTTGGGATTGATTTGGCCCGGGCCAGGCCTGAGAGGTGAAGAAAAGAGGCAGCTAGAAAAGTTATGGGCAAAGCCTGGGGAACATATAGAGTTGGGATTGAGGGTGCTCTAGGTAACATCCAAATGCTAAAAGATAGGTCATGGGGAAACAGGGAGATCAATGGGAAGAAAGGCGATTGGTGGTACCAAAGTCAGCCAGCTTGAGTTCTCCTCTCTCATTGATGAGCAGGTTCTGGGGCTTGAGGTCTCGGTGTAGCACCTTCTGCCTGTGGCAGTAGGCCAGGCCTCGGAGCAGCTGGAACAGGAACAGCTGGGGATCCAGAAATGGCAGGCAGATTTCAACAAATATCCATCAGCCCAACCCATAACAGGCAGGTAGCTATGACTCCCTCCCAAACACAAGACACTGAACTCAGCTCCCAAATGCCCTCCAAGGATTCCCAACAAAACAGTCAAATTAGGAAAAGGCCACTTTTGGGAAATTTGCAGGGTGGAGTGCATGAGTGGGGATCCCATCCTGCTCCTGCCCCACACCCACTTTCACGTTGTGCATGTTGATGATATTCCCACAGTCATCGAGGTACTGCTTCAGGTCCTTGTCCTGAGGAGAGAAGAAGTAGGAAGGAAATAAGGGTAGCATCCTGTTGTTCCTGTTTTGCCACCACCCCCTGGGACCCACTGCCATCCAACCTTACCAAGTACTCAAACACAAGGGTAAGGGACTTCTCCGTGTGGATAATGTCATGTAGTGTGACGATGTTGGCATGTTTGAGGTCCTTGAGCAGGGACACTGCAGGAAATATGAAATGGGATGGGGCAATAGCCAGAGTCCCACCTTCAGGACAAAGGTGAGGACAAGGGACTAGAGACAGATGATGAACCCAGGGTTTTATTTCTTCCCTGTCTAGTTTAGAGTAAAGCCTCACAATCTTACTGCTCTAACTCACTATGTTCAAGATACAGAAAACAGGCTTGGAGAAGAATATCCAGCAAACACCTAGGATTGCAACCCCAAGTTCATGTGACACTAGATTTTTCACAAACTGTTTTTCATTTTTAGGAAGGGGCTTTGCTTCAACCAGAGAATACAGGTTTGCAAGTACCATGGTTTGCAATTCACTCATCTTTTTCTGGTTCACTTAGATTTTTGGTTACCCTATTAACCCGGATATGTGATAGGCCTTCTCAGAAGGCAAGAGCATTGGGTAGATGTCTCAGAATTCCCTGTGTTTGGCCTCTCCATAAGGTGGGCATACATGCAATGCAGAGTCAGAAAGTATGGGGGAGATGAAATGGGATGTGTACCTTCCCGGATGGCGGTGCAGGGTGCTCCCTCTTCATGTTCCAGTCTGATCTCCTTGAGTGCCACAAGGTTGTCTGTAAGCTTGCTTTTACCTTTGTAGACGGTGGCATAGGTACCCTGGGGTGTGAGGAAGTGTGACAGGGGAGGTACTATGAGGCTTCAGGGAGCTCCCACTAACCCCTATCCCCACCATTGGCCTCCTGACTCTCACCTCACCCAGCTTGTCCAATTTGATGTAGGTCTCTAGTTTCCCAAAGCCAATCTCGGACTGTGAGAAGAGGGAAAGTTAAAGCAAGGCAGGGGAAAAAGTACTAGAAGGGAGGAAGACAGAAACAGATGCTCACCAGGCTGACACGGCGGAGGCGGCGGCTGAGGGGCTTGTCAAAAATGGGGCTGTTAAGAGTAAGCTTTTCAAGGTAGCCCTCAGGTAGCCGGATGTCAGCTGGAAGCGACAGGCGCTTGTTGATATCCTAGAAGGCAAGATTAGAGGCAACATGAGGGACAAAGAAGCAGAACCATGAGTTCCACCTCCCCAGCCCCAGCTCCCTCTCCCAGCCTTGTCCACCAACAGAATGGGGCGGGGGGGGGGGGGGGTAAGTACCTCGGTAGAGATCTTGCGTGGGGGGTGGTTGCGCATGCGCACTCTAACTGGTGACTGCACTTCATCTGAGGATGTGGCTGAAGCCTGGTCACTCTCCCCATCAGACCCCATCTTCATGTCCTCGTGCACAATCTCTGCTGGTGGGAAGCGGGGGGAAGCCAGGCGGGGTCAAGTTGGGTCAGAAAACTCCTCCTTCTTACATTATCCCTCATCATACCCCTGTGTATACATGGATCCTAAAGCAGCCTGAAATCCCTTGGGAAGAGGGTGATGGAACTCAGAAAAGCCTAGGTGGGCCAAAGACAAGTTAAATGGAATGTGAGGATCAATAGTTACCTAGCAGAGTAACCCATTCCAGGGGTGAGCTGAGCCAACAGTGTGCCCAGAAGCAGCAGACAATGGGAGGCCTCAATAAGGCACCAGAGTGCAAAAAGGTAAAGGAAACCTTGGGGCAGCTACAATAGGTAAGGTGCCCACCCTTTCTCTCCCTGGGACCTAGATACAAGGCCAAAGAAAGGTGATAAATGGACAGACAAGAGGTTAAGAGATTACTGGGGAAAAATGCAGGGAAAGCGGAGAAAAATGAAGAAAGGAAAATCAAAACAACACAAATCTAAGAACTTGGGTGGGAGGTGGCACCTGAAAAATGGGACAGAGAGAGAAAGAGTAGCCAATAGACTCACCAGGTGCAGAGCTGAGTGGGCCCCGTCCAGAGCGAGGTTCCCCAGGGCCAGCACGAGGAGGGGCCTCTCCGAGGTCACTGCCACCACCACCACCACTCTCATCCAGGCCTATCTGCTCAGGGGCACCATTGGTCTTATCTATGGCACGGCCCCCTCGGAGTGTCATTGACAGCTGCCGTTTGATCTTCTTCATCCGGTCCATGGCAACCTGAGCAGACACATGGACAGAAATAAGGTCCACATTAACATTTGCTTAACCATCAGGGGTCCTTAAGCTCATGACAACCTAGTCAGGGGAATGTGTCAGTGCCTACCCAACCACTATGGAATCAGTTAGGATTCCTGGAAATCTGGAATGAACAAGGCCCCTTTCCCTTGTCATTGTCGGCCTACCCCTAAGTAACCCACCTGGGTACTTAGGCTTGGGTGGCTGGCGGAGGGCAATGGCCCACCCAGTAGATGGTTGGTCTCTAGGGTGGCAGCCTCACAGTGAGAGCATAGGGCTCCACAGCAGGCATCTTCAGGTGCAGCAGCAGCGATGGAAACAGCCACAGATGGTACAAGAGGCTCATTCAGAACCGTAGAACAAGTGATACAGCTCCGGGCACGCCCATAGAATGGCATATTCCGCTGGCACCAACCCCACATTGCCCCCAACTGCTAAGGTGGAAAGCTCTTTGTGGCCACAAGGACCGTCTCACCTCCCCCAGCAACTATCACCATGGTGAGACCAATGGATCTTCCCACTTCTTTATTCAGAGGGGGGGGGGGTGAGAAGGTCCTGACCAGACCCAACCACTGGTTAGGTTCAGTGGGGGGGGGGGGGGTTGTTTCTCAGAGTACATCATCTATTCTCAGGGCTTCTGGAAAGGTTACATTATTATATTGGGTTGGAATCCACAGGGTCCAACCTTGTCTTCCCTATGGGAGAATGTATCACATCTCCCTTACCACCACAAATAAGTTCTGGCCTTTATGTGGCCTCCAAATCTTATCCTATTTGCCCCTTGATATTCCTAAACAGTCTTCTGCAAACACACCCAGCAAAGTTCCATCACAGGGACTTTGCACTGGTTGTTCCTGGTATCTGGAACACTCTTCCCAGATGTTGTAAAGAGTTTACTCCCAAACCTTTTTAGGCCTTTACTCAAATGTTACCTTTTTGTGAGACCTCCATGTATAACCCTATTTAAAATGTCAAACATCCTGAGCTCCTTCACGCTGCCAACGGTCCTCCACCTCCGGCACTCATCCTCTCTTTAGTAATGACATCATCTACTCATTAGTTTCTTTGCTTTTTACTGTCTTCTCACAAGTATAAGATCAACTCTGCCAGGGTACATTCCTGTCTGTTTAGGTCACAGTTATATCCTGAGGATCTGGAATAGTGGTGGACAGCGTAGATGCCCAAAAAGTACATACAGCTGGGTGGCGGTGGTTCACGCCTATAATCCTAGCTACTCAGGAGGCTGAGATCTGAGGATTGAGGTTCAAAGCCAGCTCAGGCAGGAAAGTCTGTCAGACTATTATCTCTAATTAACCACCAGAAAACTGGAAGTGGCACTGTGGCCCAAGGGGTAAAGCACTCACCTTGAGCTGAAGAGCTCAGGGACAACACCCAGGCCCAGAGTTCAAGCCCCATGACCAAAAAAGAAAAATGAAAAAGAAAAAAGTACATATAACAGAAATGAATGAATTAGGGGGACTGAAAGCCTGGGTCCAACCTCTGCTGAAGCTGAGTCCCCAACACGCATTAACAGCCTCCAAATAAGATGGGTCAGGGATGCTGGAAAACTGATAGGAAGATGACCTAGATGGGTTTGAGGGAATGGGGCCACCAAACGGTTTAGGCTGGCCACCTTCTGCTTCCTCCTAGGCACTGGGCCAGCAAGGAGGAGGAAAGACCTGGTCCAGGAGCCATCTGGACTCACAGCAAGGACTAAGATGGCCCAGGGCCCAAGGGAAGTAGAGCTAGATAGGAGGTTGATGAAGTGACTGGGGCTGGATGAGAGAAATGGGTCATCTGTTACCTTGAAACCAAGTGCTTACCCCAATAGTTCCCACACCTAACTTGCCTGGCTGAACTCACAACCCACAGAATGAAATTAGGGGACCAGGCAGAAAGACCTCAGAGGATGAGGTCCATCCACAAATAACTCAGGATAAGGTAGGTGCTGGTGGCTCATGCCTAATCCTAACAACTCAGAAGGCTGAGATCTGAGGATCATGGTTTGAAGCCCTGAGACGATTATCTAAGTGAGGCTGTAGCTCAAATGGTAGAGTGCTAGCCTTGCCCAAAAAGCTCAAGGACAGCACCCAGGCCCTGAGTTTGAACTCTAGGACAGGTGTGTATGCATGCATGCATGTGTGTATGCATACACACATACATACATATACATATACACACACACACACACACAGGATAACATAAAAGTCTGAACTAGGAAGCTGAATACTGGACTGAAAGCCGTGGGAGAGGAAGCATGGCCAGCTCCCAAAGGCTATCTTGTGCTCATATGGATAGATACTTGGTTGCTTTGCATGTGGTGACAAAGACTGGAGGGAGGGGCTACCAGAAATTTTTAAGTTTCTAGAGCTGAATGGAAGATGGGGGAGGGAGCACGGAGACAGGAAGAGCCATGGATCTTTGACCTCTAACTGGAATCTCCAAGGGCTAAACATGTTCCAGAGTTGAATTTTTGATGATTTTAGGAATATGGGATACAAAAATCGGTGTATCATGCAACACCTTCAGCAGTGAGGCTGGAAGGAGTGACATGGGCAGACCCTTGTGAATAGACAACACACTTGACCATTTATAAGCATCAAAACTTTAAATATATTGTATTTTTTGTTTTTCAAACTTACAGATTTTAGAACTAGTGAAGGAAGGAGCAAGAAATGGAACATATGATCCCACTGCTGGAAGGGCATATGTCCTTCCTGACCCCCAAAGACACATAACCAAGCTTAAACTACTCTCATACTCAAGGCTATTCACAATCTCATAGCACAGGGACCCCTGAAGATACAGTCATCACACTCTACATACCATAGACATTCATACACCTACACATTCTGTGCTGACCCCCCCCCCCCCCCGCCCGGCACACACTAGCCCCTCAAGAAGGCCTCACTACATTTTAAATCCTATTAGCATCCACGCTTTCCCCTTTAACCCTTCAGCACTCAAGCCCTAACTTATTATATTGAATTCTATTGGCATAAATTTGGCTTCCTCTAAGTAACTCCTGCCATCATTCTTGGGCCCCTTCCTGGCCCAGCAGCTGACTGTTAGCTTCTTCATAGCATTGAGCCCTCCCCCATAAACATACTGTTCACTCTATGATGGTGACCCCTATTAACATTCACCTGGAATCCTCTACAGCTGCCCTGAATTAGCACTCACTGGACCTGCCCGCTGCTCTGAATCCCCTTAGCACAACAATAAATCTTGCAGATACCTAACTTGTTTTGTCCATACTCATCTATCAACATTGTCCAATGCACATTCTGTTCCATCTTTTGACTACCTTGTCCCCTCTATCAATACAAGCTGGACATTTCCTCCACACTGACCCCCATTAGCACAGAGTCTTGCCTCCCCATTAGCACACCCTCAAACCCTTAGCCCAATTTCCCAGGGATATACAAACACACTGCTAACATTAGTGCACATAGTTCTCCATTCAGTCCTGACCCTTATTCACACACTCACACACACACACACACACACACACACACACACACACACACACACTCAGCTCTCCATGGCTTGAACCCTCTTTAGCACTTATTCTTGCCCTGCATTTCTTTGCTTCAAACTGTCCACAGCTATAACTTCTGTAGTGTGGATCCCTTCATAGCCCCGATTCTTGTGACACACTACATCCCTTCTCTACAGCACTCCCTATTAGCACTCTCTGAACCTGGAACACATCAGTGCCCCCATGGACAAGAATACATTGTTTCACAATGTTCTGATGCTCATTAGCATATTCTAAACCTCATACTGCCCAGATTCTCCCACACAGCGGCACACATTTAAGTGCCTCTTTGTCTCTAAACCCACATTAGCAGCCACTAGAACTGCACTTTCTGGGATATCAAACTCCCTGTCTTCACAGACACTGGGTGCTGAGCTTAAGACACTTCCCTCACCCTCCTGTGTACATGTACACACACGTATACAGTGTTGACACTCAGGTTCAGATCTTGCACTATTCTGTCCCCATATGAAGGTCCTTCTACATCCACTAACACTGTACCTCACACTACCCAAAGCTTTATTACAACAAGCACACAAGCCCTTGCTGCCATGACCCTCAACACCTGAGTCCTTCAATTACTTGTCCTTCCAAGAGTACACCTGGACCCCGACAAGCTGCAGCACCCCACAAACACACATCGTTATTAACAGCATCGCTGACCCTCATCACCATACATGGGGGGGCCTTAAGAGTGCTAGCTAGATCCTATTAGTACACCTCTGGTACCTGTATCCCTCTGTCCCCATTAAACAGATTGAGCCTCTCTACAGCGAGTCTAAGAACTGTGCCTGACACGGTACCCCTATTACACACCCTCATGTTCCCCTCGGCCCTGCAACACCCTTCCATTAGCACACACTGGACCTCAAACCTTATCGTGCTTATCAATTACTCCAAGTTCCGACCCCCAGCTCAGTCTCCCTTTGCAAGTCTTGATGTCCTTTACCACTCTGCCACCCATTCTCACAGCCTCTGGTCCTTTGATCACCCTGCTCCCCTTTAGCATCTATAGCACTTTCCAGCCTCAGTTCTCCAGGACGGGCCCAGGGCGGGGCCAAGGTCAGGGAGGCCCCAAATGACCCTCGCCCCGGTGCATTCTGGGTCTGGGAAATTCGATGGGGGAGGGGGCAATTGCTAGGCAAGCAGCCCAGATCCCCCGGGCACCGCCCGGGTTCTGGGATGGCTCCGTTACAGCAGCAGCCCCCCACCCCAGGTCTGGAGGACGTGCTCACCGGCGGGGGCGCACGAGCAACCTCAGAGCCGCGGGGCCGGCGCGGCGGCGCCTGGGGCGGCGGCCCAGGATGAGGCCGCGCGACCTCCTTCTCCTCCAGTTCGCCGCAGGCGCCCGTCCCAGTAGTCTTCAGCCATGGCTGCTGGGCCCGGGCCGCCGCCGGCTGAGGAGGAGGAGGCGGCGGCGGCGGCGGCGGTGGCTGAGGCGGAGGCGGCGTCCCGCTCAGCCGGCCATGAGCTTGGCCTCTGCGGGCGATGCCCCTGGGCTCGCAGGCGCCCGCTTGAACCCAAGTGCTCACAGCGGCTCTGGGCTCCGAGCCGACTGCTCACGGAGACGCGGCGGATCCCAGGACAGAACAGGGAATAGCCCAACCACTGCGCGCGCCGCGTTCCGCGCATGCGCGCGCACGCGCTGTAAAGAGTGAAGTGTTGGAAGGCGGGGACTCACCTCGGGCTGCGTGTACCAAAAGATCCGTCGGTTACGGGCGGGGGCGCGGCCATTGCGCACCCACAAGGGAATGTGTCGTCTTCCCTGGAACGGCGCCAGGAGGAAATGTGGAGGTTGCTTACTACCCAGATTTGATCTTGCCAGAAGTTTGTTGGCGTTGAGATGAGCAGCAGCCAGTAACCAGGCGTGCCACTCACCACTCGCTCCCCATAAGCGGTCTCACTTGGTACATTCCCATGGTGGCAAACGGGACTTTTGCTTGGAGGAAAGGAGCAGATGAGGCAACCAGTTCTAACTCAGTGAGGTGACTCCGGAGGTAGGAATTTTAAAGGCCGGAGAGATGACTTTTCTAGGAGTGGTGGCCTGGGTAGTCATAGGCTTTTACCACCTTAGTTAGGACGATCTAGCTCCGCCCTCCTAGCCCCCTCCACCGCTAGCTCATTCCTACTGTGAACGTATGCAGCCCCGCCCTTTGAGGTTGTGGTCCAGCCAATCGGATTTGCTGCCAGTGGTGAGGCAGGAACAAGAATGAAGGGCGTGGCTGTGTTGAAGAGGTGGGATTACACTTTCCCCCTACTGCTTCCCCTGCCCGGGTTTCAATGGTTTTCTCCATCGCATAGGGCGGTCTCTTTTTTGTTCTGAACTCCTCTCACAGTAGGCTGAACAGTTCTCCAGGTTATTGATCCGGAAACATTTCACCGGCCTCGAGGTCCCTCCCTTACCCTTCCTACATTGTCCAGCGGGCCTCTTGGGGTGGAGCGTAGGTTAAAAGGAAAAGCGGACCTGTGTAGAGACTGGGCTCCGCCAACACGCATGTGTAGAACTTTGGGCGAGGCGGAGCCTTTTCCTGCCTCCAAGTTTTTGTGTTTGTTCACTAAATGAGGTTTGCCTGCCACCTCTCAACTACCTCTTGCTGCCCGCCACAGTCACGCCCAAGGCTACCCTCATTCTGCCTAATCCCTCAATCCCCCAGCCCCAAATGTAATAATAGCCTTCGGAAAATCTTACTGGACTTCTTTACATTGCATTCCAGGAGCCTCCTCACCTCTTCTGGTTTTCCCTTTAAGGCAGTCACACCAGTTAAGTTTTTGTAAGGTTCACATTAGCAAGGACTTCATCCATGGGCCATGATGGGAATAAAATTAGACAAAAGTTTCATGGCTCAATAGAAATCGAGTCCATCACATAACTGATTTATCTCCCACCCGGCTCTCCTTTATTCCAGCTATTCTGCTCCTGAAAAACAGCAGCACAGTCCAGCCTCTGGGACTTCATACTTGGTGTTCCTCTTGCTTGGAAAACTTTTGTCCTCCAACACAGTTCATTCTTCAAGTTTTAAGTCCTTGCTCCAGGCACTTTCTTCCCCTGTTGACTTCCTTGACTACCCCCTCTTAAAGTTCCACATTTCATCTGGGAGCCAGTGGCTCACATCTGTAATCCTAGCTACTCAGGAGACTGAGATCTAAGGCTCTGAGATCTACGGCTCTCTGTTCAAAGCCAGCAAGGAAGTCCAAAAGACTTATCTCCAATTAACCTCCAGAAAAATGGGAAGTGGAGCTGTGGCTCAAAATGGTAGAGGTCTAGCCTTACGCTGAAAAAGCTCAAGGCCAGTGGCCAGGCAGAGTTCAAGCTCCACAACTGACAAAACAACACCAAAAAAAAAAAGTTCCACATTTCCACACCTAGTAGGAGTTTGGGGCTTGAACTCAGTTCCTTGTGCTCTTCCTTGGCTTTTTCCCTCAAGGCAGTGCTCTACCACTTGGCACACATCCACTTCTGGCTTCTTAATGGTTAATTGGACCTTTTTGTCCAGGCTGGCTTTAAACTGAGGTCCTCAGATCTCAGCCTCCTAAACAGCTAGGATTACAGGAGGGAGCCACCAGTGCCTGGCCCTTAATTTTTTTTTTTTTTTTTTTTGCAGTGTTTGGTATTTCCAGGGCCTAGTGCATAATCTATGGTTAACTCCAAGTTTTAACTTCTGATATAATTGTACTTATTATCTATCCTACCAGATCTCATTCTAGAATAGCCTCAGGATGATAAGGATGTTTTATCCCTAGATATGTCCTAAATGTCTTCAACAGTGCATATAACACTAAACAAACATTTGTTGAATAACTGACCATTTCTGTTCCATCCGTGTGTGTGTGTGTGTGTGTGTGTGTGTGTGTGTGTGTGTGTGTGTGTGTGTATGCTGGTACTGAGGTTTGAACTCATGACCTAAGCACTATCTCTTAGCTTTTTTGCTCAAGGCTGGTGCTCTGCTACTTGAGCCACAGCTCCACTTTCAGCTTGTTGCTGGTTAACTGGAGATGAGTATCATAGACTTTCTTGCACAGGCTGGATTTGAACCAAGATCTTCAGATCTTAGCCTCCTGAAAAGCTAGACTGATACCGGACACTATTCTATCCTTTAGGTCTTCTATGTACAGAGGACTTGGTACAGTGACTCAATCCTGGTTGGGCTCTATTTTCTTATCTAGCTGGTGTCATCATGTAGACAAACATGGTAGTAAAATAGCATGTAGAGAAAAATGGGGTGTGGAAGGACTAAGATGCAACCAGAACAGGTGAAAAGCTGGTTTTGATGAAGAGGGTGAGGTACACAGTAGATGTGAAAGGGAATCCAGCAGCTGTGGTGAAGATTGGTGTCTGGAGAATCAGGAGTGGTAGTGAAGGAGGCACTGTGAGCAGTATGCAGGGTGCCATGAAGGCACTGAGATAGTGAAGGGAAGCAAAGGAATTAAGCACATGCAAACCTTAGCTGCTGTAATGGGAGTACACTGGAGCAGAAACCATGGAGAAGTGCCTACAGTAAGTAGGAAGACCTCTTGATATCTTAGCACCACCAATAGATACCATGAGCAAAGCACCTGTCAGCCTGTGTCCTGGCAGGATCTAAAAATTAACTAGGGAAGGAGATGAGGTCATCCAAGCAGAGCAAGCCTGAGGCAAGAGGTAGACAAGAGTATGCACTGCCTGTGGCACCAGGAGACAGATGTAAGGACAGATTGTGATGGGAAATCAAGCCAGGTTTGAAGACAGGGTAAGTTACTCTTGACACTCAGGCTTGAGTAGAGGAGAGAGGGGTCTTGTTTCTAAGTAGAAGAGAATGATTGGCTAGGTAAAGGACTGAAGCATGGATTTTTATCTATGGTACCATTAGCAATCTGGAAGGCTCAGACAAGATTAAGGACAGAACTCTATGGGAATGGTGATGAGTAGTAACCAGCGGTGACCCCTCTGCTCCCACAGCCAGCTGTCCTCTAAAGACATGAGGCCTAGGTACTTTAAAGGTGCATACAGGGTAGGATGAAGAAGGAAAGGGACTTTTCCTCTCTAGATGTCCTCAACCAAATGTTTCCATAAAAACTGCAATGTGTTGTGGGGCGTTGGTGGCTCACGCCTATAATCCTAGCTACTCTAGAAGCTGAGATCTGAGGATGGCGGTTTGAAGCCAACCTGGGTAGGAAAATCCAGGAGACACTTATTGCCATTTAATCATAGAAAAAGCTGGAAGTGGTATTGTGGTTTGAGTGGTAGAGTGCTAGCCTTGAGCAAAAGCAGCTCAGGGACAGTGCCCAGACCCAGAGTACAAGCCACAGGACAGGCAAAAACAAAAACAAAGCCCTGAGGTTGTGCCTGACCACCTTTCAGGCCAGGCCCCCAGTGGCAGAGTTGAACTAAGGGCACTGAGGGCATTCTCAGTGCCACAAGAAATGACTATAAAAGCCTATGAGCGCTTTCAGTCAGGGGGCAGGCATCTGCCCTAAAGACATAGGCATGTAGTGCTGGCAGCTGCTCAAGGCTATTTTGTTCTTCATAGGAGACAGGAAAGGAACAAGGTGTGATTTACACCCAGCCCAAACCAGTCAAGTCACATTGACCCAGGCATCTGCTCTATATGGCTTTACCAATGCTTCCAAGTCTGAGAAAGCAGAGAAAAAGAGTTTCTTTGACTAAGAAACTGCTTTTATTCTGATACTAAGGCTTGAACTCAGTCAGGGCCCGGTCACTGTCCCTTATTATTATTTTGGTGCTGGTCCAGGGGCTTGAACTCAGAGCCTGGGCACTGTCCCTGAATTTTTGTGTGCAAGGCTAGGGCTCTACCACTTTGAGTCACAGAGTCATTTCCAGCTTTTTGGTAGTTAATTGGAAATAAGTCTTACTGACTTTCCTGCTGGGGCTGGCTTTGAACTGTGATCCTCACATTTCAGCCTCCTGAGTAGCTAGGATTACAGGTGTGAGCCACCAATGCTCAGCTCCCTTAGTTTTTTTACTCAAGGCTAGCATTCTGTCACTTGAGCTACAGTTGTAGCTCAAGTTGTAGCTTTTTGCTGGTTAATTGGAAATAAGAGTCTCACAGAATTTCCTGCCTTGCTTCAAAACACAATCCTCAGATCTCATCCTCCTGAGTAGGATTACAGGCACCAGCTACCGGGACCTAGCTTCTGCCTAGTAAACTTTAAGCAACTATCTGAACCAGACCTAGGAAACTTCTTCCTTCCCAGGAACCAGCAAGGCAGGCCACTTCTGGGTTGGTATCTTTTTTTTTTTTTATTAGGATTTAGGTTTCAAATAGGTAGAAAGCAGTGGCAATAGGGGTTCAGGTAGAGGGTGATGAGGGAACACCAGGCTTGGCTAGCTGGACCACTGCCAGAGGTCAAATGGGAACCAGGGCTGGAAGAAGGCTGGGAAAGGAGAGACTGGGGCCAGCCTACAGGAAATCCACAGGGGTCAGCGGATGGTGTATCGTACATAGGGAACTTCAACATCCTCGCCGCTTTCGTCGTTGCAGCATAGCTCAAGCACCAGCGCCCGCACATGGCGGCCCAGCTTTCGCTTCGACACACGGCTTACAATCTCTGTCATCCTA